ACATTACTGGCCCATCCCATGGAGTCTACTTGTGTTTTTTTATTTATTTAAGGACAATATGCGTGGGAGATTTATACTGAGGAGAATTATGATGTGGGTGGAGGTATGCACTCTCCAAGTGCCCTCTAGTTCAAGACTATCACACAAGTTTTTAACCGTATATATTATCGGGCCTATTATTTTTCTTTTTTATAATTTACATTTTTTCTTTAAATTTTCAATACTCATGTTAGAAAATGATCTAGATGGTTTTCATTAAGATTACACCAATTCTTCTAGCTGCAAATGTTTATTCTGTATTTACTATAGCTTACTTAATTAAACAGATAGCCTATACAATACGTGGACCAGACTGCGATTATCAAACCAACAAGACAGACGTCCCAGCTTATATGGAGTCTAATGGTACCATTTGGATCATCTGAATTCTCGACACATTTATCAAATTTCGTAAAATCTACCTGGTTTATAGAACACAGCTGCGTGATCTTGCATTCATCCGTACATGGCTGTGTATTATAACTTACACTGTTGAATAAGTAATATCGATTGAACAAAACGTCACTAGTTTCAAAACTATGAACCAATGACTGCAATGATGCGGTTGTGACATCAGGAATATCGTAATCTTTGATGGCGCTATACTCTCGTTTCCACATTGAACTGTCTGCTGAATCAACCTCGCTTAGGTCAAGATAGTATTGTTCCCAGTTCATAAGTAATCCGTCTTCTCTATTGAATGTGAATAGACGAACGCTAGGATTGTTAGGGCCGACACCGGCTAAAGAGGTATTCCATGGCGTCACTGCCGGGGCAAGAAATAACGAACTAATTGCTTTTCCTAAAAATAAAACAAAAATCTAAGTTTAATGAGCGCACGCGTCAAACCAACCTTATTGCAGACAAATTACAATACTGTACTGTTTATCTAACTACAATTATTCCTACAACAAAGTTGAGATACTTTTATTAATCTTTAGGCTTACGAACATTACATATGTTACTTTATGATACATCTCTCGCTATAAATCGTTACAAATTCGTTTCAAAATTCCCACATATGTAATGAGAACAAACCTTCATCATCATAGAATAACCTGAAGCTGTCATCATGTTGATGAGCAAACAACTGGAATGCAATGACGTCGTGAAATTGTTGAATTACTTCAATATATTGCGTGTTGAACTCTGGGTAAAACCAACACTTTCCCCGCGATCGTTCAAAACATCCCGGTGGCACATGTCCAACAATAACGACCTGTGAATAATCAACGCCATAATATATATTGAAATATTATATATTTATATTTCCGAATACAGTAATGACTTAATAGTCACTTTTGTTGTCCTTTGGAGCTATTATTTTTATGCTATACTACCGTACCTTTTTATAAACAATTATAAACTGACGCACATATTGAGATTATTTAATAGAAAGAATTGGTTACCGTTTCATTATCACGTCGAGCGTCTGTTAGCACTTGTTCTAACCAGCTGAATTGTCCAGCCGGGTCCGAAATGTCCATGGTCAGTTTATTATTGGTGTAATAGAAGACTGTGTTCAAACCGACGAACCGATAAGGTTCTATCTTAGCAGTGTAATACGTTTCTGAAATTAATACACATATATTGTTTGTTCAAACGAAAAAGAAATAATTGTGTATGCCTTGGATTAAAAACAAACCGGGTATTTAATTCCAAGGTAATACATCACACACATTGAAATGAATAGCAGCTGGTGTGTGGCTCTTCATATTGTATCCATAACATAAGCCATAAACATATAAAATGTACAATACGGAATGCTATAAATTAGTTAATAACAACAATAACTCAATTAGTGCACATTTATTCTTTGGTGCATAGTAAAATAATACAATACAATTGCCAGGATATTGCAATCACATCTGCTTTGTAATTAAAAACGTATGGGATGATTTAAAGCTACAGACATGTGTGTATTGAATATTCTGATCTAGTATTATAATTATACAAATAAAGAATAGGCCTATATAAAAATTAAATTAAAATATTTATTCTCTTATACATTGAACATTTTCTATTAGTTTAATTTTGCTATATTCGCTGCTCAAAATCACAACAAAATAAAATAATCAATAACCATGATAAATATATTATTTTCATTATTGTCAGTAGGCCTAGACTCTTTATATAATAGGCCTAATTAGTAAAAAAGGGTGATTGTGTTTGTTATTTACAATAAATATCATTACAAATGAATATATAATTAAATAATATAATAATATTTTTATTCTCTGATACATCGGTATTTACTATTAGTGTAATTGTGCTAGGCCTATATTTGTT